GCAGTAATCTAGGTAAGGAAATAAGATAACTCTGTTTCTTCAGGTACGCTGTGACAACCACCGGCGCCTTTGAGAAGATATTCAGGGCTGTCGAGAGTCCGAATGGAACCACTTTGTGTTGGTAGTGTTGAGAATCTACAATGAAACGAAGAAAACGCTTTTGAGTAGGGTGGATGGCAACGTGAAAGTATGCATCTTGCAAGTCGAGGGACGAAAACCAATCAGCCTGTTTCAACGCCAGTAATATGGTAGCAAATGTTATCATCTTGAATTCTGTTTCTGAACAAATTTATTGAGGTCTCGAAGATCTAGACTGGACCTCCAGTCCCTGACCTTTTTTAAGGCAAGAAGTAATGGGAGTAGAACTCCTTGCCCCTAAGCTGCGTGAGGACTGGTTCAATAGCCCCTATGTGTAAGAGGTATTCTACTTCTACTTCATGAGAGTGGCCTCTGAAAAGGGACAGGGAAGAGGAGTTGAAGGGGAGTATGGATGCAAAGGGAATAATGTAGCCTTTTTCAATTATCTGCAGGAGCCATCCAACAGAGGTTATACGTTGCCAGTTGTTGAAGAAGGGCAACAATCGATGCTGGAAGAGATTTGATTGCATTGATGGCATTGGAACAGGTGAGAGGCTCTCTAGACCCTCGACCTAATTAACAAATTTGCTTGTTGGACTGCTGCGACTATTGGGAATTGGTAGAGGAAGGGCGTCATTGTTGGTTTCTGCCTCTGCCTTTGTTTTGTTGCTGCTGGTCTGTCTATTGTAGTGTTGTGGCCTATGGGGGTATCGAGGTCTCGGGTAGGGCTGATATCCATATTGCCAGGGCTTGACAAACTGCGGCGAGAGCTACTCGCCATCCCCGCACCGCACATGCACCAGACTGGCACTGCGCATGCGCGCAGCGCCGGTGAATGGGGCGCACGGAGCAACCAGCTGAAATCTACTCGCCATGGGCGAGCAGGAACAGCAGTTTGTCAAGCCCTGCATATCGCCTTCTTCTAGGTACTTGGTTGTGAATCCCCAAAGACCGAAGCATCACTCTGGAATCTTTCACGGAGTGGAGAATTTCCTTCGTGTTAGCTGCAAACAACTTCTGGCTGTCGAAAGGCAGATCTTCTACTGTAGACTGAATCTCCCTGGGAAATGGAGTGGAGCTAAACCATGATGCCCTCCTCCTTACTACCACTGTTGCTCTAGAACGTGCAGGCATGTCAGTAGCGTCTAAGGAGGCCTGTAATGCCGTTCTTGCAATTGTGTGACCCTCGGATACCCGTGCTTTGTAGTGTTGCCTCTTAGCCTCAAGGATATCTGCAACAAAGTCATTCAGTTTGGTGTAATTTCTGTAATCATATTTGCTCAATAAAGCTGCATAATTTGAAATGCAAAACTGTAAAGTAGAAGACGTATATATGTTGTGACAGAATGCATCAAGCCTTTTGCTATCGCGGTCCGATGGGGTAGATCGGTACTGCTGCTACTCGGATTTTAGTTGTGCAGCTTCCACCACGAAGGAATTTGGTGCTGGGTGAGAAAAAGAAATTCAGAATCCTTGGGTGGGACATAAGTTTCTTATCAGTTCTCTTAGCCCTCGAAGAGATTGACGCCAGAGTTTGCCACACCATCTTTGCCGGTTCCATTATTGGCAATGGTATTTTTTTATGAGGTTACTGAGTGCATAATGTCTGTTAGCTTGTGCTGATTTTCCACAAGCCCCTGAAGAGGAATGTTTAATTCAGCTGCTACACATTAAAAAAGTCTTGGAAATGTGCAGCGTCATCTGAAGTCACTGAAGCTGGGGCCAGAGACCATCCCTCCACTGGAGGGAGATTATTTGGGTCAGGAGGGGGTACTGCCTCTTGTGTGAGTGGGTCCCCAGCTTGTATTTGGAGAGGGAATATAGTACTCTGTGTCATTTCTGCTCATGCTGGTGTTTGTGACAATATTGCCATTTGTACCAGTATTGGCAGTAGAGAGAAGGTTCAGGTGCAGGTACGGAGGGATTGCCATAATATGAAGGCGTATTCCCAAATCTGGAAGAGTAAATACTCTGAGCTGTGTAAGGATAATTCTCTAGTGAAAAACCCCTAGAGAAGTCATCATCAGATTCGGATTAAATTTTTTCCTGAGAGAGTGATCTCTGTGATGTGAACATAGCAGAGAGTGCTCAGCTTGTAAAAATGGTGAGTTAAAAGTGGATGACATTAATTAGTCTCTGTGTTGAGTGTAATGCCCAACAGGTGCTGTCGGTGCTGTAGTGGGAAGCACAGAGGCTAAGGCGCTGAATCATGCTGTGGCGCCGAGAGCAGTAGTGTCATATCAGGCGCCTTTGTGGTGGCAGCTGAGGCGCCTGTTAACGTGATCGGCGCCGCGCTCTCAAGCTGCATCGGCAAGCTTGTATCACTGATGGATGGTGCTGCAGCTAATGAGGCAGGCAACTTGAAGCCTGTCGCCTCAGAAGCGCCATTTAGCGCATGTGCACTGTTTGTCTCTCTGAGGCTCGGCAGCGGTGCATAGACATAATGTGGAGCACCCACGGGGATATCTCTCTCAAAGAAGCTCATGATACCATCTACATGTTTTGTTAGTCTTTAAGCTGCTATTAGACTATTCGTTGTTTTTTAATAAAAGATATATTTTACATATTCTTTTATTTAAAGCCTATTTTTATAGACAACAAGAAAAAAGGGCCGTAGGGGGAAGGCAAATCAAACCTTAACTGTGAGAAATACCCTACAGCCATTTTCTATCCTATAGAATTATGTTACAGAAAATGACAAAAGATGGTAACCAGGAAATAATTTGTCACACTCAGAACAGATATCAACTGTGGATTTGCAATTATTCCAAATATGCTCCTGTCAACTTTTCCATGCTGAAGATCTAAAATTTAAGTTTAGAACTCTGTTTAATGTTGGAGATAACAGGGAAGAAGATAAAGATGATATATCCAAAATGGGAAATGACCATCTAGGAAGCAGTACTACAGAAAGGTGGTTATAGTAGATCACAAGCTAAATACAACTAAATAGTATAACACGGTTGAAAAAAAACCAATGTTATTCTGGGATCTATCAGCAAGAATGTTATAAGTAAGACAAAAAATAATTCTTCCACTCTACTCCACACTGATATGGTCTCACATGCAGTACTGGGTCCAGTTCTGGGAGCCACATTTCAAGAAAGATGTAAACAAACTGGAGACAGTTCAGATGAGAGCAACAAAAAATAAAGGTCTAGAAAGCACAACTTATAAGGGAAGATTGAAAAAAAATGGGTTTGTTTAGCCTGGAGACAAAAAGGCCTCGGAGTGTGTGTTGGGGAAACACATGACATAAA